AGATATAACTGTTGACACTGGCCTCCCAGTTGTCAAAGTTTTCCTCCTTCTTTCCCCCGTATGCGTCTGGAAACTTGAGCTTTACAGACTCTTTGCGGGGTCTACCTTCACCCTCTGCAGCAGCTATGGTTTTGGCACCCTCAATTGCGCCTTCGCAATACTTCCTTACGTTGTCCCTCGAATGTTTCACTTCACCCCCTATGTGGGTGACGATCCCGCGCGCAAACTCCCTAAATCCTGACCGCATGGCACTCAATGTTACATCCTGACTCCAACTAGCTTGGCGCTCCTCCATCCAGGCCTTACTCAACACCTCTAGGTAGCCCAGTACGTTGTCCCATTTGGCCTTATCATCTGGCTGGGACAATACCTTCGCTCTACACTCCTGCACTTTTGCCACTGCTGCGGTCATCTTGTTCACCTCTTCTCTCCTCCTCCTCTTCTCCCTCTTCATCCTCAGCTTCCACTGCAACTTTTGCTCGTCTTCTCGCTCTTTTCGCTCCATAGGATCCTTCATGGTTGCTAGCTCAACGGTCAATGCGGCCTTCTCATCCTAAGTCACGTATGACTCCGCCTCTTCGTCTTCCCCCAACGATAAGTTAGCAACCCACTCACTGATCTTCTTTTCAATCTCCGCGTCTGTGTCCTCCTTCGTGCCACTACTTCCTTCTTCGCTTTCAATCCTCATCATTTCTTTTGCCTCTTCTGCTGCCGCTTCTTCTTCAGCAGCCTTCTCCTTCTTCTTCATCTCCTCCTCCACTTCCTTTAGCTTCGCCGCCTGCTCGTCTGCGATAGCCTTTAGCTTCGCTTGCTTCTCACGCTCTTTCCTCTCCCTATTCTCTTTGGCTACGGCGGCCATCTTTTCTTGCTGCTCAGCGGTATAGGGGCCAGTGCTCTTCCCACTACGCAGGTTCACCATGGTGATAAGTGTACAACCGAGTTAGTGGTTTCAAACCTCACCACGAAGACTCTGACCCCTGACTGACAAACCTATTGACTCAATCTAATGACTCACAGAATCCAGACAGGGATCCTGCCAACTAGGATCTCTAGCCTAGACCTATACTATGGCTGTCACTACTGAATTAGTGGCGGATCAGGAGGCATTTAAGGAGATCCCCCGTAACTCCTCAAGAATTCTTTAACGTCGCAGACAGGACGACGTGATCAGCTTGGTTCTGCCTGTGCTTTCAGCCCACAACTCAGCCTTTCCGGCCTACTGTGCCACACCGAGCAGCCCGCCGGTCTRTACCGGTCCTTGGGAGGGTTCGTATCCGCCGGGACAATTGAGTCGTCAGACACAAATCATCAGCCTTACTTGGTCTGGTAGGGGAGTGGTTCCAACAGGCACTCAACACTTAAAGACGGCCTTCGTTTCAGCCTGCAGCTCAGAGTTCGGACCCTCTACACTGAAACTAAGCAGACCTGCCATACAGTACCGGTCATTGGGGTAGACGAGTTGTTCAACGAGCGCTCGCCGCTCATGCCCAGGTCTCCAGATACCATAGTAGAGATTAGTCCTACTAAGTTTCGTGCAGGCTTGGCAGCAAGGCCCTATCCTTCATCCACATAGTTCTATGACCTAGGACAGAAGAGACTCAATGTAGAAAGAATAGACAGACAGACTGTACTCAGCAAGTACCAAGGGGTATGTGCACATCCATAGGGCAAGGGTCAGGCTAAGGGCGTGGCGAGATGTTACCAACTTCAGCTTGGTCAAAGTCTTGGTCAACGCCTTGGTCAACGCCTTGGTCAACGCCTAGGTCAACACCAGTCAACGCTGCTATGACCCTCGGTCAACTCCGGTCAACTCCTCCGGTCAACCCTCTCGGTCAACTCCCCGGTCAGCTATGGCTGCCGGCACTTCTTCCTCGCCAATCCCCTTGTTCTTCCTTACC